TTGCACGGTCGCAAGACATTTTAGCCTATGTGCTGTTCCACGACAGACCCTAAAACCAAAGCCCTAAACCCTCAACGCCCAGCTCTAAACTCTAAACCCCAAACCCTAAACCTAAAACTCTAAACTCTAAGCCCCAAACCCTTAACCTAAAACTCTAAACTCTAAGCCCCAAACCCTTAACCTAAAACTCTATTGCCCCATATACCGGTTCCTGAACCTTGGGAACACTGACGAGGATTTGGGGTCTTAGGGTTGTAGAGTCTTTAGGTTTTTCATAAAAGGGCGTTGTGGGGTTTATGACATTATAGGAATTCGTACACATCTTCTTGCCCGCTTCTAGGGTTTTCGGGGGTTGTTTATGGTGGCTGTCAGGGTGTCATACTGTTGATGGACAAAATCCTGCATGACCCAAATATAGTCTAGTACCATAAATCCCATAGTTTAGGTATATAAAGTCATGCAGGATTTTGTCCATCAACCGTACCGGCTTACGCTTCAGACATGAGACCGAAGAGACTCTAGAGCCGACTTTTTCCGGAGCCAAAGCTGCGAGACCCTGAACCCCAAACCCTAAACCCTAAACCTAAACGGTTTAGGGTTTAGGGTTTAGGGTTTAGGGTTTAGGGAACCCTAAACCCCAAACCCGAAACCCTAAACCCTAGACCCTAAACCCTAAACCCTGCACCCTCAACCCTAAACCCTGAACGCTGAACCCTGGTTTTGCGACCTTCGGGCCCCGCAGCAAAGAGAAAGCCTGGTCTAGGGTTTAGGGCTTAGGGAAGGTTTAGGGTTTAGGGTTTAGGGCTTAGGGAACTTTCGAACTATAGAAGTTTGCATAGTTAGCAAGGTTATTCTTGAGGGCTCCCTGTTATGTTTTACAGGGTTGAATGTACCCCCAAAGCCCTATTCTAATTATTCTTATTCGTCCTCAACCTTGAACCCTAAACTAAACCAGAAACCCTGAACCCTAAAGCCTACATTACCTATAAGCCCTTGTTGCCAGCCACAGATAAATGCGCTGGGCGACGAGAGTCCTCCGGCTTGCTTTGGGATTCGGAGTCTGGCTCGCTTAGGGTTTTGGGGGTTTGGGGTTTGGGGTTTGGGGTTTAGGTTAGGGTTTGGGTTTAGGGTTTGGGGTTTAGGGTTTAGGGTTTTGGGTGTTTTAGGGTTTGGGGTCTAGGAGTTGGGGGTTTGGGGGGTTCGGGGTTTACGGGATTAGTTAGGCTTTAGGGTTTAGGCTTTGGGTTATGAACTAAAGACGTGGGGTTTCGGGCTTTTGTGGGGGCTAGAAGGAGTTGTTTCCTTTCTGCCGATGTTTAGGGGTTCACGTGAGGATTTGGTTTTAAGGGCTTCTTGTTCAACAAAAGGCGATGAAGGCGCTTCAAGTTGTTAGTACAATCATAAGGGGACGATCTAGGGATGTTAAAACCAGTCATGCAGACCTGCTTGTAAGGGCAAGGAAATAAACCCTAAACCCAAAACCCCTAAACCATAGCCCTTTGTATAAGGACCATGGAATGGGGTTCGCGGGCACGTCCAAAGGAAGCACCCGACCCTGCACGCGAAATTCCAGAGCACAAGGATTGTCCCCGAACCCGACATCCTCAACCGACAGGGTTTAGGGTTTAGGGGTTTAGGGTTTGGGGGTTTAGGGTTTAGGGTTTAGGGGTTTAGGGATTGGGGTTAGGGTTTAGGGGTATAGGGTTTAGGGTTTTGGGGTTAAGGGTTTTAGGGTTTTAGGGCTCACGGTCGGACATGCAAGCAGGATTACCAGTGAAAAGGATGTTCTCACTGTCTCAGAAAAACAGCATTAACCCATCAGAACCCTGGTCAACTGAGCCTTAAATCTCTAAATCCTTACATCCTCAACAACCAACGCTGAATTCCAAACCCCAAAACACTAGATTGCTGACTCCTAAACGTTAACCACCAAACCCAGCAGCTTGTAAAGCTTCTGTGCAACCGTACGAACATGCTTTGCATAAGAACCTTGACTGAACAAGCCCATAAGCCCCCAGCAAACGCCGCGCAAGCCCTCGCAACGAGCGTTCCAAACCCTCTATGAAGCTTACACAGACCCCAAACCCCTGAACCATCCTAAACCAAAAATCGTAAACCCTGAACCCTAAACCCTGAATCCTAAACCCTAATCCCTAAACCCTGAACCCTAAACCCGAGTGGCACTACCAGGCTAATGAAGCGTCACGGTGGCAGGGCTGGGACGACTGGGCGATGCACGACGAAATGTACCTGCAGCGAGGCCGAGTTCGGCGCCATGTGGAAGTTACGGTCGGTCCTCCTGCTGGTGAAGTTGGAGTGCCAAAGAGGCTCAGAGGCTCAAAATGCCGCTACCTGCAGATCATGGTCCGGTGAGGATCCTCCAGGCGCAGGTGGTGGAGGAAAGTTCAACATCACCATCATCGGTGACGACAGTTGGTGTGGCAAATGCAGGCTTGCCTGGGGCACGACGGGGGGCGGAAGTCGGCAGTGTGGACAATGACGGTGACTGGATGGATGGCGGGGTCCCTAAGCACTTGGACGTCGACACGTACATGGAGCAGTTCGAGCGGTTCCGGGCCGGGGTGATCAATGAGAACTACATCAAGTCGATGTGGGGGGAGGCCACGTGGGATCTTATGCAGGCCCAGATGCTGGTGAGTGAGATGGAAGACCGTGAGGTTGCACAGGGCTTTGCTGCTGGGTTACTGGGGTCGAGGGAGCCAGAAGACACTCAAATGGATGACACCGGGAAAGATGAGGGTCCACAAAAAGGTCACGGAGGTCAAGCAGTGATCCCAGGGATAATGTAAGAGTGGTTGGTTGAAAGGGGCCGCCACAACAGCCTGCCCAACTGGGCTTGAGACCTGCGATGCAGTCATCAAAAGGGCCGTCAAAAAAAAAACCCTAAGCCCTACCTACACCCTAAACCCTGAACCCTAAGCCCTAAACCCTGAACCCTGAACCCTAAGCCCTAAACCCCAATCCCTAAAGCGAGGCTGGTCCGGCATGCGGAATGTGAACTATCCGGTCTACCCCGTGGACTTCGATCAAGGCTGGGTGTAGGGTTTCGGGTTTAGGGATTAGGGTTTAGGGTTCAGGGTTGAGGTTTTAGGGTTTGGGTTTTAGGGTTTAGGGGGTCTTGAGGGTGTAGGATTTGGCGTTTTGAGGGCTTTAGGAGTTTAGGGTTAGGGTTTAGGGTTTAGGGGGTTTGGGTTTTGGTTTAGGGGTTTAGGATTAGGGGTTTTGAGGGTTTTAGGGTGAAAGCTGTTGGGGTTTAGGGTTCTAGGGTTCTAGGGTTGACAGTTGAAGGGTTCTAAGGCTTAGGCTTAGGGTTTCAGGGTGCAGGATGCGTGCTTTTTTTGTCTTAGGGTTTATGTAAGGGTTTCAGGGTTTCAGCCTTTTTGGTTTTCTCGTAGAAACGACGAAGTCGACGCCGGCGGGTCGTGGACGACGCCCGGCTCGAATGCGAAGCGGCCACCCCGAGACCATCGAAGCATGATGTGTTCAGATTTAGGCAGTGCTTCGTTGACAAGTTTCGGTTGTTCTGTTGTGCTGTCCGAAGCTGCCGACTCGGACCATGCAAAGCTTCGAAATCGGCGCGATGTAATGGTAAGCATGAACATGCCAGAAACCTTAAACCCTAAGCCCTCAACCGTGTTCTTTTTCTCTGGCGCCGTCGCTCGCTGCCCGCTGCCTTCGCATACTCATGATGAATCGGACATAAATCACCCTTGTCGCTCAACCGCGTCGGCAGCAAATCCCTGCATCCGAAAGCGCGGGGTACTCCGAATTTAGGGCAGCTCGGTGCTTTCCGTCAAATTATCATTTCTGCTGGAACGTATTGGAACTTGCCAAACTTAGAGTCGCAAAGGAAGGTGTAGTTTGCAGTGTGCATGCAGGGCTTATAGTTTAGGGTTCAGTGTTTAGGACCTTAAATCCTAAACCCGAAGCCCTAAGCCCCAAACCCTAAACCCGGGCTCACAGGGTGGGCCAACACTGTAAGCAGCCGCGTCTCGGAGGCCTTCTTCGACCCGACGCCTAAACCCGAAGCACGAGACCCGACGCTCGAGACCCTAAACCCAAACTCCAAGCTCCTGCATTTTGCATGTAACCCCAACTCCGACCTCCGAAACCTTAACCCCTGAACGGGAGGTTTAGGGTTTAGGGAGGTTTGGGGAGGTTTGGGGTTTAGGGAGGTTTAGGGTTTAGGGAGGTTTAGGGAGGTTTGGGGAGGTTTGAGGTTTAGGGTGGTTTAGGGTTTGGGGCTCAGGAATCCTAGACCCTAAACCCTAAACCCCAAACCCTAAATCCTGAATCCCTCAAGCCCTAAACCCCGCCGAACACCGTAGACCTAGACCTTGACCCCGCAGGTCCTAGATCCAAAGAGCCCCGAGCAAATTTTTACTATTACTCTTAAAAGCAAGATGTAGGGGGGGGGTGTGTGATGAATTAGGTTTTAGGGTTCAGGGTGTGGGGTTTGGGGCTTCGGGTTTAGGGTGTAGGGTTTAGGGTTTATGGTATGGTTCCCAAAACCCTAAAGAGCCTTTCATACAAGGAGCACCCTTCCAATTGTTAAGGCCCCTTTGTACTTGCGGGATCATGGGACTTAGTAGCTATGTTGCAGACATGTGTCTACACTTTCATGGATTCTGACCCCTAAACCCTAAACCCTAAATCTTACTACTAAGTCTTAAAGGCAAACCCTATAGATCCTTTCTAAACTCCTTATAGGAGCCCGTTAAGGAAGAAAAGCCCAAGTCCCATGATCCCCCAAGTGCCCATCCCCACCTAAACCCTAAACCCTACACCCTAAACCCTAAGCCCTACAACCCTAAACCCTAAACTCTACACCCTAAACCCGAAACTCTACACCCTAAACCCTACACCCTAAACCCTGAACCCTCAACCCTAAACCCTAAACCCTAAACCCTAAACCCTAAACCCTCAACCCTAAACCCTGAACCCTTTAAAGGAACCCTAAGCTTAGCCCCTCCGATCAGACCTCCCGAGCCTTGTGCCTGCGGGGTCCAGCCCCGGGCTGCAGCAGTGGGCGTCAGAGTTGTACGGCTCGTGGCGTGGCCTCCTCTAGTGTTTGGGTTTAGGGTTTAGGGTTTAGGGTTTAGGGTTTAGGGTTTAGGGTTTAGGGTTCAGCTTAAGCTCAGGCTTTCCGAAGTTGTGGGAGGAAGGTATAGAGTTGCGGTGAGGGTCTTGGCGATTCGGGTTTAGAGTAATTAGTAAAGGGTTTGGGGTATAGGCTTCGTGGCGTCGCCTAATCAAAACTGCAACTGCAATACCAGCATGGGACAGACACACGCTCGTATCAGGAAGAAAGCTCTACTTCTCAGTGCTCGTACCAGAAGTAGAAGCATCGGCATTGATAGCTAACATCCTCAACATCTCAAGGAAAGACATGGTCGTAGCAGTAAGAGAGCAGCTGAGTACAGCTGCACCTAGTTACAATTATAACTTATAATTGTAAAGCTCGAGTTTCTTCGTAGTAAACCTTAGACAGTATCTAGTCATAGCAAGCATGGTGTCCACTGCAACGAATGCGTAGGTAGCATCAAGGAACAACTTAGTTCCCCAATACCCAACCTTTTTAATTTTTTGGGCTCTTATAAATTAGTAGTAGTTTGAAAGTTTAACCTTTTATGTCCCTGGCTTTTGGGGGAAGTAAGAGAAGCCGTGAGATAGCATCATCTGTTGGGATGTTGCTAGTTGTCCGCGGTTGCGATGCAGGATAGTTCTTCAATTCGTAGTTAGCTTAAAAAGCCATAAACCCCAAACCCTAAACCCTTTAGTCTTTTGACTTTGGCTTGTCGCTTGCATGGGGACCGCAGTAGACCCCAAACCCGACCCTAACTGTTGCGGATTCGATACTGCCAAAGTTCGAGCCCTGAAAGAGGGATCCCAAAACCCAGAACGACGTGCACTCATAAGTTGGACGGCTCTGGTCGCAAGGTTCTTGTCCTAAACCCTAAGTTAAACCTAAGCCTAAAACCCTAAACCCTAAACCCTAAACCCTAAACCCTAAACCCTAAACCCTAAACCCTAAACCCTAAACCCTAAACCCTAAACCCTAAACCCTAAACCCTAAACCCTGTCGGGTGAG